AGGTACATTTACAAAAGAGAATGTATACATTGCAATATTTCCAAAATTATAAATATTATATGGAAACTCATCCGAATTTAAAATTTTATTTCAAATAAAATTATTCAATTTCATTTTAATTATTTTTTCCGTTAATCTTGTAGCGAAATTACTAACCAAATTTGTTAAACATAGCTTTCTACATAGAAAATTATTAAGGCATTGCTAATCGTATTTTTAGTAACCACAATTATAGCACGTTTACTGTGGACCAATATTAATAGTTTTCTTGTTTGAATATAAATCGTTGTGTAGACATAAATCACGATGTTGTAAATTTTTATATGGACTTTTTGGGGATAGATTTTATTAGTGAGAATATACAATTTCAGAGTAAAATCATATAAAGTTTTAAAGTTTGCCGCTTTCTCAGTTGTATTTATGAGAAAATCGCTCTACACAAATGCATTCAAACAAGCACTAAGCTTAAAGCCTTCCTATATCAAGTATTTTTAATCGATTACTACGGATTCCTTAGGGAGCGACTTGCCATGTGTGATGCAGAATCATCACACATAAGACTAGGAACTAAGCAATAAGCAATTTTCAACGCCATAGGTTTAGGGTTTAACAATATGTTATGAAACCACAGTTGGTATACTTCACCAGAAATATAGTGCTTTTTCAACTGACCCCGCGATTATTGCTCCAAAACCTTATAGTACAACCTGCCGAGCAGACCCTTACCCGTAACCATTCCAGGAACGTCTTAGGAATTTATCTAGCTATACTAACATGTATGTTTTCAATCCTTTTCGCCGAGCTATTCTTGGAACCTGTACATAAAAAAATTAGTAGAAAGTAACAATTTATTACGTTCGATTTCATTACATTTCTACATAGTATCATTATTCATATCCAAATATTAGATATAATAATAATAATAAAGTATCAGTCATTTAAAAAATCGTCACTATCGCTACTGGCGTCACGTTTATTAATTGTTTGGAACTGAAAATTCATTTTCTTCAAAAAAGTACGCAACGACTCTTTGGCACAAGTAATGTTTAAGTTTGTCAGTACTTTGCTGTGCAGTTCTTCTAGGATTAAAGCAATATTCATTTTATAAGCGAGGTAGATTATATGCCTAATTAGATCTCACTTCCTTCGTTACTATTCCATTTGCAACGCTTTTCTTACAGTTAACTTCGGAACTTTGGTCATTTCACTTGCTTTTATTGCTGCTTCCACTTCCCCTTCTGAATTTCTTATTAAATTGTAAACATTCAAAACAATTTGTTTAGTATCCAAAGACAAATGGATCCGTTTTTTTATTTTCTGAGGTAGTTCGCCTTCTAATTTTTTTTCGTTAGGTTCGACTACCATCTCCACTTCGTCTTCAAATTCTGCGTTGTTTTTCATGTCTTCTTCTAACAGGGGAACATCTGCTTCATTCTACTATCTCCATATTTTAAAGTTTAAAAAAACAAGAACCTTCAAAAAACGTTTAATTGTAAGATTCTAATAAATATTTTTCTGTATTCTTATGACGTACCTTTATCTACCCGCAATATAGTCTTTCTAAAAAAGACTGTTGTTGTTCACAAATCGAAGAGCTATGTAGAAAGCACAAAAATATAAGAAGCAGAATGAAATAAATTACTTAAAACGTCAAAGCAGTAAATGCACTATATTTTTGGTTGTACTATAGAAACAGAATCGGTCTAATTGTCCGATCCGCATACGTTATATTTGAGAGAAAATATATTTTTTATACTCCCCACTCTAAAATACCCAGTGATATACTGATTACGGGTGCGGGAGGTGTCACTTTCGTCAGCTTCGTTGCCCACAATCGCGAGTCACTTCGGACATTTCCGGCACTTTAGTTATGGGTTTTTGCTAAATTTTAGCTGCGGGTCATATTTGATGATATTGGAACGAGTTTATCTTGATGCATAATATACTATTTTTGTTGCTGGTTAGGTATAGTTTTCCCTTAACAGATCGGCACGAGATTAGACGCCCTTTCGAATCTTGTGCACTAAAGTAATTGAAATATTATGTGTACATAAAAAAAGCAACAACAATTTCCGAAACGGATTTTACTTTAGTTACACCCTTGTGCGATTTTGGTGGTGTGAGTGCAGTGTCGCCGACGGCTATGCGAGGAGAGACGTTTTATCTCGCCTCGTACTCGGATTGGCTGATGCGCTGATATATTCCCGAACGGGCGGATTTATTAAAATAAATTGAAAGCAGCGGCCCGGTTATATTCCCGTGGAGATAAGTCGAGGCTGGTGCGTCGCGGCCAGCGTCTCATTTCCTGCTAACGCCGACGTCGTTCCTGCAACGCCTGCCTTTCACCCATCGTATTCCATTTGCCGTTATTTTTTGGTCGATATCGAGCGCCGTCGGCCCGATATTAGTACTGAGTTACCCAAAAATTTCGACTATGTGACGGTGTTTTATCTAATACCCTCAGAAAATTTCAACTTTTTTAATGAACGCTAACGAAGAATTTAAAAATGTTACATTTGGGAAATTTCTTAAAACAAATTTATACAAAATTTATGAGGGGTGAACCGCCGTTTATGAGTTCGTACGGGGTGGGCACTTTATTAAGGCCCTGTTTATGCAAAAGTTTTATAGTTTAAATTAGATTTTAAAATTATTTTTTTTTAAAATTTTCTTCAATTTTAATTTCAACTTCTTTTTAAATGAGACGCGCATATTTCGGTATTTTTTCTCAAAGCGGGTCATAATACCTATAATGTGCTATATATATATATATATATATATATATATATATATATATATATATATATATATATATATATATATATATATATATATATATATATATATATATATATATCCTATACCTAAATCTATTGGTTTTAGAAATAGAACATTCTTATTTTTTAATTAATTTTAAGGATTTTTGCAATTGATGATGGGCCTTTTGTGTAGGTACGGTAATACGTATAATAACCTAATCATTTGTAAAATAATATATATAATTATGAAAGAAGTTTAAAAATTTAGAACAAGTAACAGTAACAATTAAAAGCAACAAACAAGGCTACCATCTTGCCTAAACTTTGCATAAATAGTTTCTTCTCTGGAATCTGTCTTACAGGAAACTTTCTTTGATCTCTCTAAGACTTTTCGAATTCGATAAAAACCTTTCAAACATAAAGTAATAATAATATTGCTTGATTAAAATCACATCTGCCAAACTCTGACTCTTAATTATGACGTCACTTAAAACAATTATAAACTCTTATTTGGTTACTACAGCCTACTACTATTATGCCTTTTAAAAAAATGGGAGTTTTTTAGTATTGACGAAAACTTTATTTAAAAATGTGAAAGCTTAATAAATTGTCCCATCATTCGTTGAAACAATCATTAAAATTAAATAAAATTTCTGTCTAAACTACACAAAATTCTAATAAAAGTTACCTTTATTTTTGGCAAGTATTCTAAAAACATTAATCCATTTAAAATTTTAAAATTAATATCGCTCCAGCACTTATCGGTCACCCTGTATATATAAAAAATAAATAATTTTAAAATTTAATTCCCTGTACATTGGACTTTAACACTTTAACACACATTGATCTTTTTAATTCGTTTTTGTTGGCCCGGATTTGTTTTGGGGCCACTATCGCTTAGTATTTTAAATTTTCTTGTGACTGGATCAATTTCTACTAGTTAGGGATAGGGATAATTGAAGAATCGCCCTAAAATTTTATTAAAAAAACACCCTGAATACCTGTGACTTTGAATTTAACATTCAAGTAAAATTTAACAATTAAACTTATTAAATAAATACCCTGTTACGTGAAAAAAGTTTTGTTTAAACGGCTAAGCCACGGGCGCTAAGGACGTAAAATAAAAACACAAACATGTTTTCACAAATGCGGCGTTGGGATTTGTGACGGATTCGAATCTTATATATATAGTTCTAAGCATATACGTTTTTTTTATCAATTATATCCATATTATTTTTTGAGAAAATCATTTGGTAAATTAAGTTTAATATTTGACTCCGATGGTGAGCTAGAAACAATATTCTGTTGCTTAAATTGCATGAATATCGAAGCGCGTCGCGCTATCTCAAAAAAGTATATTTTTTTATCAAATAATTGAAAATATCTCGGTGATTGTTACGAATTTTTTCAATATTTGATATCTTTGTATGTGTATGTTATTTATTACTGAATGTTGCAATGAAATTGTGTTGGTATGATTATTTTAGATTTACTTTGTTCCGAAATTTGTCAAACCTAAATCTAAATGATGTTTGAAGAAGGTTTTGTTATCAACTTGTTTCGACTTTTTCTTTCGTTAGCTCAGTATTTTAAAAATGACTGTTGCTCATTTGAACAAGAACTTGATTATTTTTTAATTATATTAGATAAATTTCAATAATTAATATATTTTTTATTTTTTTTAAGGATTTGATTTTTTAAAAAGCAAAAGCACATTTTTAACACACTAACACTAAAATAATTTCGAATTTGTGCTTGAAATTAGAAATTGTTTTGTTTTTTCACATTCAGAAGGTTTTTTGATTGGGCAGTATTTTTTTTAACTTTAGTTTTTTTACAACATTTTTTCCGTAATTTTGCAGCTATGTTTATACTAGCAGAAGCAGAAGTTCATTACTTTTTCATTACTTATTCATTACAGAACAAGAACAAGTCAGTAGCAGGAAAACACAAGGAACACAAACGGTTATTGTAAAACTAATAATAATAATCATCATCTAGCACCAAAATTTTTTAAAATTGAATTAGAAGTAGTGTGTTACCGGGCCTTTAATTTTGGAAAATATTTATGTCGGATTAAATTAAGTAAGGGTTTTTGAGGTTTTCGAATTGGTCTTTTAAAACATTCAGAGTTTTACTAAACTCTAATGACAGGGTGTTTGTGAAGACACGCCCATAAGTTTTAATTTGCCGGACTTGAACTTTGGGACGATGTTTTATTAACAATATTGTTATTTTTAGGTGAGGCCCATGACAAGTTGCCAGTAGAGTTTTCTTCTGATACCGAACCGCGTAAAGGTAAGGGTGATTGCTTTGTATTACTTACTTTTTTGCGTTTAGGTGGTTTTTCGAAACTACCGAAACAACTGGGCCGCCTCACACTCAAATTAATTCAACACCTTCGGCCTTCTGATAAATTGGCCCGATAAGGAACGACACAAAAAAAGGAAAACAGGCAAAAAGAATCCGCTAATCAAACAAACGCGCGATAACATCAATCTGGGGAATATTTATGAATGCAAATTCGGTATGAATAAGATCACTTTATCGGCGTTCAAGGCCGAGTGAATGAATATAATCAGGCCCTAATAAGTCCGGTAATTGCATGTATAATTTAACAGAAGGTGCCACGATAAAACCGTATCCAAATAATATATTCAAATTTATGCTAAAACTACCCACGAGGTGCTCCCGTGCTCTTTTTTTCGGACGTTCAGCTCGTCCCCGAATTATCTCTCTTCTCTTTTTAGTTCTTGGTTTGCTGGCGTTTTCCGTTTACGTAGTTCTTTCGGTTATTTATCAATGTTTGAACAAGTGATTGTCCGTAATCAAACGGCGAATTCCCTTCTGATGTATACCGCCATTTGCATTGAAAAATGGCGGTGTGTCGACGAGATTGTTTTCGACCAAGACTATTGTAAATATAACCATCCACTACAATCTTCTAATAAATTAAGTTACCTAAGTAATCTACAAGAAGACCTTTACATTTTTGCTACATCAGCAAATATCAAAACCAATTAATTTTGGCAACGCCTTTGATAGCCCTCTTTCTCTGAAAATTTTAATAGCATATTAGGAGTTACCAGTTCTAAGCATAATACCGTATGACGTATCTTTTGAAAAACATTCGTAAGCTATAGGGATTTTTTTAATTAACTTATTTATTAGAACACCAATTTATTTCAATATTTGCCTATGCAACAGCAAAGCTTTTCTTTTATCCGTTAAAAATATATATATCACTTGCTTTATTCCGCAAATCTTCAAATTTAATTAATTAATTAACAGTTAATTATGGCGACAAAACAGGAAAAAATAAAGTTAAAAGTCTAATTGATTATCATTTTTATTGTCGTGAAATTGAAGCTTTTGGAAGGCTTTGTTAAATGTTTCATTGCTAGATGGCATCTCCTTTATCTTAATTTTATTATAAATTTAGAAAAATGTAATTTTGCTGTTGCGTTAAAAAAATTTGTTCTTTTATTTTCTTACGTATTTTTAATAAATATTTTAATCTACCCCATCTTTAAAATGTTAAAGAAAGGCAAAATACATAAACCAGTGCGAATTTACACATCTTACAGTAAATCTCAAGTGACAGTTGTCTTACGCATCTATTTTTGGTGATATTCATAATAGAAAGCCTCCTAGGATAATTCACGTTTTGTTCTGCCTCTGGTTTGAGTGCTTTTTGTCGGCGAGCTTGGAGATAACGGCCTTTTGATTAAAAGTCACATTGATAGTATTTTGATTATGACTTTTGATCTTTGACAATCTGTCTAGATTGTATTAAATGTAATGTAAATACGGTAAATTATATCAATACTGGTTAACTCTACTAATCTCGCTATTAACCTACCCATTTCTCAATAAAAATTTAAAAAATAAAAAACTGATTTGGAGAAAATTGCCTTACACTATAATATATAATTTTATTCGTATATTTATATTATTCTTCTCTGTCTTTAGTTTTATAAAAATGTTGAAAATTTTAAGCTTTAAGTTATTATGTGATATTTTCTGAATCCAGAACTCATTTTATCATATTTATTTATTATATCATTTCATATTCTTATGAAAAAAATAGCACAACAATGTTTATTTGTTTTGAAAAATAATAAGTTTTCCATTTGAACAGTTCAGTTAATTTTTCGAAAATTAACTATTTCACATAAAAAAATCCCCACTCGACTGATTCTACGTCATTTCAGTTCCAATAAATTTCTCACACACTATACCGAAGTTGAAATTTTGAGCGGATCAAATGAGTTGTTTCCAGTAAACCGTTAAAATTTGATCGACCGATGGCCGTGTAGGGTTTAATGTATTCTGATACGACATGTGGTATACCAGGTTAAAGTGTTCGATCGTTGACAACTGTTTGGTAATTCTTAAAGTTTTTTTCCGAGATCTAATCGATTAAGGCAGGAAAGACAACAGATGTAACGCAACCGTCTAGAGATAAGGTTTTCGTCAGAAGAGGGTCGGACAGGTACTGATTCGGTTAGAAGGCGACCAGTTGGCATTGGAAGTCAAAATCGAAACAAACGGGGAAAAGCTCCAATGCACTTACATTTTCGCTTTCTAACCAAAATGAAATGTTCTAATACTATAATGCGAATTTGTCATTCATGTTAACGGAAAAATCTTACTTAAACCTGGCAGTGATTCATTGGTTCTAAGGTCGTAATAAGAGTGTTTTAAAATCGATTTTTAAGAAATATTAATGGTAAGAACCTTATCGCCATGTCATCACCACCAGTTCAGACATATATATGCGTTCTTCATTTTGCTATTATTTTGGAAGTTACTGATTATTTTTTTTTAAGAACATTTCTGATTCAGATAAGAACATTATTATACTGTACTTCGTAATGCGAGAGAGTGAAAAAATATAAATTTTGCAATAATAGAGGTCATTAAGCAGGGTTAAAGGTTATATTGTAAAGTTTTTAAAAATCCCTTATTTCAGTTTGAATCACTAAGTTTGCATACAATAGAGAGACAACTTTGCTTAATGAAGCAATGCGACAACGGTGTTACTACAGGTAGTTTATTAGAATAATAAGTATAATAATACTTGAAATATTAATTATTCTAATATCAAGTAAATAAAAACGAATTGAACGGAGGAGGCTTTTACTTGATGAAAATTCATCTATCAAAATAAATAAGAACTAAAAGTTCAGATTTTCACGAAATTATATATTTTGACATATTGTTTATTTGTAAGTAGGCCGTGTATATAGCCCGTCATGGATATGTCAAATAATCTTTAACTTGAACGTATTGGTTGAATTAAGTAAGTTTTGGGAATGTAAGAAAGATTCGTGGTGAAACCCTTAATCTTTTTAGAGTTCCATCCATTGACAAAATAAAAATGGTAAATATGGAGGTTTCAGGCCTGTGCATCGCCTTTTTTGGAAATGATTGGATATTGATGATTTTTGTAAATGTTTTTCGATGTCCGCTATTTGAAATTTTGATCAATACTACTGACGAACTGGACCTACATTTCATCCAACATTAGAATATTCTAAAATATAATTCGCGATGACTGCGTTCGCGATGGAGCACTAAAAATGGCATCGGTGCATGATCCGATAAAATAGAGAATAAAGAACGTCGGTGGCCGACCACGATAGCGTCCGACTCAATGAAAACACATGAAATATATTCAATCTGGCTGTTGGCGATAAGCTCCCGTAGCCAGAAGTCAGTGGTGGGGAGAAAGGCGAAAGAAAATGTGACGGGATAATAGAACATTTTACCCAGTTAACAAAATTCCATCTTGAAAGGGAAATGGAGTTTGCTTTCCTTAGGTCCGCTTTAAACTATGATTATCGTCAGATTATCTGCAACCCTAAAACTCTAGTTTATTCAAAAGAGGTATGTTAATTTATGATTAAATACTGCTATTAATAGCCATTCTTAACTTCGAAATTTTTTAAGTTATGGAATTACATACATTGCATTACAAACTATTTATGAATATTTAAAATCATATTCACTTTTCGTACTCTATATCCTACTCCTGAAGTGAGGTAAAGTGTGTCTCAAAGTATAGCATCTTGTCTTTTGACGGACTCTCCTCCAAAAAGTAATTGCGTCCCTCATACGTATGGTTACATGACAGGGAAGATTCAGGTAGATTTTTCTGTTATGGCACGTCGAAATCACTTTTGATGCTTAATGAGTAGATAGAGCTTCAAAAGAAATCTTCCTACTCACAAAAACGCCAATATCCTGGATATTGTTAACAGTAAATTGAATGAAAGTGTGATTTTCAATCTCCCCGTGTGGGATAATGGTCAACAATATGTGATAATATTTGACAAAAGTACCTTTCAATAAAGGAAAACTCATCACCACTCACGTTGGATCAGAACAGAATTTATTCGAAACTGCTTGTTGTTGTCTGCAAAGACTATTACGGGCTCTAGATTCGACTATCATGAAGATAAAAGTTCCGAACATTTTGAAGCCCAACGGATCATACATTGTCTCCAGATCTTCATCTCTAGAAACACTCTGTCCGCATCAATTAAGCTCTTAGTACTTGACTATTTGACTTTGCTACTGACGCGACTATGAAAAATGCATTTTAGCAATCGTTATAAGTGCAATATCCAATTAGCTGCTACCTTGCTCGAGTGCCGTTTGTTTTTCTCATGAAAAAGAGAAAATGTAATGGTCACACTAAGTAACAGCCTCTGATTTAATAAAATAGTCAGTTTCCATCGAAAAAACAATAGGTTTTATCCGTCTCGGATCTTTTTTCCTCGGTTCGATGCGATCAAATCCCTGTTCCCACGTTTTGCATACACGTAACTTATAAAGCAATCTTTAAAGGAAACCAACTTAATAAGATATAAAATAACTCATTAACAGTAACCGTTTGTGGCTGATTAATTAACTTTATTATTAAGAAAAATATATGGCGTAAAATGGCAAATTAAATATTATGGAGAATACGAATAGTGTATAGGTTAGATTTCGCAGAACCATTTTTGCATTAGTTTTAGCTCAACAGAATTTGTATCGAGGTTAAACATTATCCAAAAATGCCGCCAAAATGAGACTTGCCCTATCTAGTATTTTTCCAAAATACCATATGTATTTGAGATAATATCACCTCAAGCTATATACGAAACACTGTCCTTGGACTGTATGAACATTTTTGGAAACCTCCTCTGCCAAATATAAACTAGATTGCCTCAGATTTCTCGAGTCTTATTTTGTTTTCAGATACCTTATTGATATTAATTAATCCCTCTAATTTGGTAGCAATCCGA